CTCCTCCTCCTCCTCCTCCTCCTCCTCCTCCTCCATCCATTCTCCTTATGAATAACTCTTCCCTGTCTCAGTCCCAGGCGTGTCTGTAGGCCGGGCCGGGCGTTTCGCTTGAGACTCCCTTGCAATTTAGCATCGCCAAGCTTCAAATTTGCAACAGTTACACGAATGGAAGGCGGGTGGTTTTCAAAATGCAGCTCTCGCCTGAGCGCCGCGCACATTCGTCTTCGAAATTTCCAACAGTTAGAAGGATGGAGGGCGGGTGGTTTTCAAAATGTGGCTCTCGCCTTAGCGCCGCGCACATTCGTCTTCGAAATTTCCAACAGTTACAAGGATGGAGGGCGGGTGGTTTTCAAAATGTGACTCTCGCTTTAGCGCCGCGCGCATTCGTCTTCGACATTTCCAACAGTTACAGGGATGGAGGCCGGCTCCTTTTCAAAATGTGGTTCTCGCCTGAGCGCCGCGCACACTCGTTTTCGAAATTCCCAACAGTTACAAGGATGGAGGCCGGTTTCTTTTCAAAATGTGGCTCTCGCCTTAGCGCCGCGTACATTCGTCTTCGACATTGCAACAGTTACACGGATCGAGGCCGGTTCCCTTTCACACTGTGGTTCTCGCCTAAGCGCCGCGCACCTTCGTCTTTAAAATTTCCAACAGCTACACGGATCGGGGCTCAACCTTTTCAAAATGTGGCTCTCGCCTTAGCGCCGCGCACATTCGTCTTCGAACTTTCCAGCAATTCCATGGATCGAGGCCAGCAATTCCATGGAACGTTAGCACCGCGCTCATTTTAAGATCCCTCCTGAGCTTGTTTCGCGACTCCCTGTCAAATCATACTATGCGGCCAGCACTCGACATGTCTCCTCACGCGCAAGGGCCGCCCTAGGTCCGAAAGACGGCCCAAGGGCACCGAAGAGGGCACCCAGAGGGGTCCACAAGGGGCACAAGAGGAGGGGACACGAACGGACATTCCGAACCCCCCGCCCAGGAGATTGCACTTGTCGCTCCATTGGATGCCCGCTCCGACCAGGGGGCGGCGGGCAAGACAGGAGGCCCCTGTGTTCGGAGGAATAGTAGGTCGCGGGGCGTTCTCGCGCTCACCATTCCAGTCGATCACGTCAAGCAAAAAGCGCGTCGGCGTCGCCCGGTCCCTCAGTCTGACCGAGCTCGCTGCCGCTCGCGCCTGCTTGCGTGCCAGACGTCGTGCTGGTGCCCTCCGCGTCGGATTCCTCGTCCGACGTGGCTGAAGAAGAGGCGGACGGATATTCAGATCCGTACGCCAAGTCATCCTCGGCGAACTCGCCGGCCTCGCGGGCAAGCTCCTGGTCCAGGTCCTCCAAGGAAGACGGGTAATCTTCGTCCACGTGGTCTTCGTCGTCCGACGACGCCGAATCGATCCCGCGCTCAACCTGCTCGCCCTCGCGGCGCGGCCCTACAGGCAACCAATCTGAGGCTCGGATCCTGCCGCGCAGCCACACCCCCAATCTCGAGTGCGCCCTGGATGCTCCGACGTACCCGCACCCCCGGTCGGGGGGTACGACCGTGGCGTGTTAACACCAAGAACCAGATTCAAGATGTCTGGGTTGACGATTTTCTTGGCCTTCTCGTCCTTGATCTACAGACACGCCGCCTTGAGGACCTCCGCCGTCCTCGAGATTCCGATTCCCCGGCGCTCTGGGGTCTCATCCGCCAGCTCCGTGAAGTATTGCACCTTTTTGTTGCCTTGGCTGGCCCGCTTCCACAACTCCTCCGTGGAAGCGTGGTCCAACCCGGACGCGGCGTGCGGGTTGAACACCTGTGCTGCCACGTGGTCGCACCTCCGCAGCATCTGCCGTTTTGGCCCCACCCCGTCGCCGGCAGCGACGCGCTTCTTGTCATTGCCGGCGCCGGCGGCAGTGGCGAACTGGAAGAGCCCGGCGGAATCCGCCATGGCCCTGGAGGAGCTCGCGTGGTAGCGTGCAAGGGCGGGTTCAGCTGGGGCCAAATGCTACACACACGCACACACACACACACGCACACACACACACACACGCGCACGCACACAAACACACAGACACAGAAACAGACACAGACACTGACACAGACACAGACACAGACACAGACACAGACACAGACACAGACACAGACACAGACACAGACACACACAGACACAGACACAGACACTGACACAGACACAGACACAGACACAGACACAGACACAAACACAGACACAGACACACACACACACACACACAACACACACAACACAACACAACACAACAACACACACAGACACACAGACACACACACACACACACACACACACACACACACGCACACACACACATACACACAACACACACACAGACACACACACACACACACACACACACACACAAGACACAATGAGGGGGAAGGAAACACACATGCACATACACACCGATATGACACTCGAACTGTGCAGCATCAGCCTTGCCCCATCCAGCTGCCCCTCCTGTGACCCGCGCTTCCGACTCGCACCCATGGCAGGCCGAGGGGCGCCGTTCCCAGACATCCGATGTTATGACTGCTCCACAAGAGGATCTGGAGGCCCCCGCAAGTATCCTACGGCCTGATTTCGTCTTCACTCATTATTTCGGGATCCCAGGGCCCCAATTTTCGAAAGGGCCTCCCGAGGCCAATGACGTCAAAAACCGTCGCATTGATTTTACCACGGCGTCGGATGTCTGCGTCGGGCGCGCCCCTCGCGGGCGTTGGCCGGTCCGCCGTTCCGGAACGCCGCGGGCCGCGCCGTAGCTCCCTGGCTGATCGGCGACAGCCAGGGGTCGCATTCAACAAACGATCGCGCGCACGCAAAGGGCTACCCAAGTTCTGCCAGGGTTCACGTGTAAGTACTTATGAGGAGGGAACATGGGACGGGAGGGGATGTTCCTTGCGAGCACTACTAATCTTTAGTTCACTCTGGTCCTCCTCCTCCTCCTCCTCCCTCCTCCTCCTCCTCCTCCTCCTCCTCCTCCTCTCCCTCCTCCTCTCCTCTCTCCTTTTCCTCTCCCACCACTCTCCTCGCGGCCTCGTACTCCTCCTCCTCCTCCTCTCCTCCTCTTCTCATCCTTCTCCTCCTCCTCCTCCTCCTCCTCCTCTCTCCTCCTCCTCTCTCCTCCCCTCTCTCCTCTCCTCCTCCTCCTCCTCTCCTCCTCTCCTTCCTCCTCCTCCTCCTCTCCTCTCCTCCTTCCTCCTCTCTCTCCCTCCCTCCTCCTCCTCCTCCTCTCCTCCTCCCCCCCTCCTCTCCTCCTTCCCTCTCCTCCTCCTCCTCCTCTCTCCTCCTCCTCATCCTCTCCTCCTCCTTCCTTCCTCCTCCTTCCTCTCCTCCACCTCCTTCTCCTTCCTTCCTCTCCCTCCTGTCCTCCTCCTCCTCCTCCTCCTCCCCTCAAGGCTCCCGACAAGGACGCGGACGCTCAAGCCCGGGCGCGCGAGCAGACGCTCCTACGCGCGGCCGAGGAGCCGGGAGGGAAGCGGCGCGCGCTCCACGCGCCCACCGCGCTGGGCGAGGCGCTTCGCCGGGCGGAGAAAAGAGGGAGGGAGGGGAGGGAAGGGGGGCGAGGGAGGGAGGAGAGGAGTGGGAGCGAGAGAGGGATGAGAAGGAGGGGAGGAGAGGAGGGAGGGGGGGAGGGAGGGAGAGGAGGGGGAGGGGAGGGGTGAGGGGGAGGGCGAGGGGGAGGGGAGGGGGAGGGGGGGGGGAGGGGGAGGGGGAGAGGGAGGAGGAGCGCGCTGGCGCCCGGCGGAGGAGGGCAGGAGGGGCCGAAGGGGCGGAGGGAGGAAAGGAGAGGGATGGGACGGAATGTGATGTTCTGCGATGGAGCGGCGCGGGTGCAGTCCGCAAGCGGGCGGCGCCCATGGCAAAGCGGACGGCGAAGGCGCCCCGCAGCCCTCCCGCGCGGGCACCCGCGCTGGGCTGGCCGCCTCCTCGGGCTCGAATCCCGAGCTGTCGGAAGCTGGGGGCATGGCTCATGTTGTTCCCGTCGTACACTAGAGGCCTCCTAGATGGGGTCGGATGATCGCGCCGCATCGCCCATACATCAGCGATGCATCGGCGATGCATCGGCGATGCACCGGCGATGCATCGTCGACGTGGGCGATGCATCGGCGACGTCGACGTGAAGTAAATCGGGCTTCGCATGGAGGTGCATTGGTGATGCATCGGCGATGCGGCACGATCCTCCGACCCCATCTACACGGACACCAGCTAGGAGGCCCAGATACACTCATCGGGCTACCCGAAGGAGCGCAGAATGAGGAACGAGGTAGCTCTTCTGGCCATGGCAGGCTTGGGCTACCAAACGGTCCAACGACATAAGTCTGAGGGGGACGGCCCGGAAACCCGAGCCCCTCCTGAGCCCAAATCGGTCCTTGTTTCAGCGCCCTGACTGGACTTCAGGACCAAATCTCACAAATAATTTCGAGCACCCAGAAAAGTACCCCGGGCAAGTCCGTGGAGGAGACCCAGGACCGGGCAATTCTTCGACACCCCTCACGAGGATCGTGGCCTCCGAGGGGGGAGGCGCAGTCGACTACCCCCCCCCTCCCGCCCCAAGAGGCCCACAAGAGCCCCCCAAGAGGCCCTGGGGGCCCCCAAGACGCCGGCAAGGAGCCCCAAGAGACTCCCAAGAGGTGCCCAAGAGGCCCCCAAGAGGCCCTAAAGAGGGCTCCAGGGCCGGCGGAATGAGCGAAGCGATCAAATGAATAATCTCGAGCACCCAGAAAAAAGCGTCGAAACGCTGCCGAACGAGTGCCGCCTCCAGAGGGCCCGACGCGTGCAGACCCTCCGGTTTCTCGGTGCTCTGCTGGGGCTCGAAACTACTTCTGGTGGTCAATGCTCTTCCTCAGGGAGCGGCCAGGAGGAGGCTGTCCAAGAGGGGGGGGGTGCAACTCATGACTGGCGGCATGTGCGCGGCCCAGCGGGGGGGCCTGGGACGCAACGAAATACGAAGAGGCGCCATAAAATCTGGGGAAACACCATGGCCCGCGCCACGATGTCCACCCCCCCCCCAGTCTCTTCTTTTCCGCCCCCGACAAGTAGGCTGGAACACCATGAGGCATGGCATCCCGCCTTCCCCCTGTCCGAACGGCCTCGGTGCCCGCTGCGCCAAGGCCGACGGGCGCGAGGAGGTGGCGCCGCGCCGACCTCCGCCAGCGACCCCGCCCCGCGTGCGGCCCGGCGGGGCCGCACGCTGCCCTGGGGACGCCCGGGCCAGGCCTGCCGCCAGGGGCGCTCTCTCCAACAGGCCCGCCTCCTCGGCGCGGAGCGACTGCGGCCCCTCCCAGCGTCCCCGTCTTTCGGCGATGGACAAGCCTCCCTTTAGCAAACCTCCCCTTCGTGAAAACGGCCTGGGACCGAAACCGACGGACCTGGACCCGCAAAAATGACGGCCGCGACGCCCTCTCGCGAAGCGAAACCGGCCAATTCCTTACTCGACGTGTGAGGGTAGGAGGTCTGTCCACCCCGTCTTGTCTTTGCGCCCAGCCAGCAGCGCGGCCCCCTGCCCTGGCTGGATGGAAGGCGGCCGATCGCGGCCCGCAGGGTCCCCTCGGTCCCTCGAGGGCGCGCTCGGGAGCCGGCCGGGCCTCCTGCCCGCCCAGACTGCGCGAGGCAGGAAACAGCGCGCCGGGTCCCGGCCGCCGCACCACGCCGCCGCGGAGCAGGGCGCGTCTGCTGGTGTGCTCTTGAACGCCCCCGACGGCAGGGGGCCCCGCGCCCAATGCCGCGTCGACGTCGACTTCCGTCCCGCTAGTCGACCCCGCGCTTCCTGTACAAATTGAGACGACGTTCCGCGCGAGAGCGCGACTTCGCCCCCCACCAGAGACAAAGTCCAGGCAAAGGACCCAACCATATGCAGTTGTGAGTACCGTCGTTGCCGGTATCGCCTTCGTGGGATCTCCTCATGGGGCCATGAAGCATGCGAAGGGTGTGCCGACATGGGACGGGGCCCTGATGTGGGCGCGGCCACTGGGGTGCTAGGTGGAACCACTATGGGGCCGCGAAACGTGTGATGGGGTGCGTCGCAATGGGGCTCCCTATGGGGCAACGAAGCATTGTGCTGATTTGGGGGGGCATCAGAGCACCGCCACTGGGGCCTTCGGTGGAGCTCCGTATGGAGCCACGAAACGCCGTATTGGGCGGGGGGGACGCATGCGGACACAGCCATTATGGCCTTCGGTGGAGATCCCTATGGGACTGCGAAGCGCTGTACTGGGTGGGGGAGACGCATGCGAACATCGCAACAGAGGCCTGCGGTGGAACTTCGTATGGGACCACGAAGCGCTGTACTAGGTCGGGGAGACGCATGCGAACACCACCAGTGGGGCCTTCGGTGGAGCTCCCTATGGGGCAATGAAGCGCTGTACTGAGTGGGGGAAGCGCGTGCGAACACCGCCACCGAAGCTTTCGGTAGAGCTCCCGATGGGGCCACGGAACGCTGTGTTGCGTGGGGGAGACGCATGCGAACACCGCCACTGGGGCCTTTGGTGGAGCTCCGTATGGGGCCGCGAAATGCTGCACTGGGTGGGGGAGTCGCACCCGAACACTGACACTGGGGCCTTCGGCGGAGCCCCCTTTATGAGACCACGGAACGATGCACTGAGCGGCGAGAGCGCATGCGAATAGCGCCATTGGGGCCTTCGGTGGGGCTACGTATGGGGCCACGCAGCGATGTGTTGGGTGCTGGATGGGGGAGACTCATGCGAATAATTACCGCCACTGGACCTTTCGGTGGAGCTCCCGATGGAGCCACGAAATGCTGTACTGGGCGGGGGGGACGCATGCGAACACTGCCACTGAGACCTGCGGTGGAGCTCCCTGTGGGGCCAAGAACCGCTGTACTGGGCGGGAGGGACGCATGCGAACATAGCCACTGAGGCTTTCGGTGGAGCCCCCTATGGGGCCATGAAGCGATGTATTGGGTGGGGGAGACGCATGCGAACAACGCCACGGAGGCCTCCGGTAAAGCTCCGTATGGGGCAACGAAGCGCTGCATCGGGTAGGGGAAACGCACGCGAACACCGACACTGAGGCTTTTTGGTGAAGCTCTCTATGGGACCACGAAGCGCTGTACTGGGCGGGGGAGACGCATGCAAACATCGCCGCGAAACGCTGCACTGCGTGCGGAGGGCAGATGCACGGATACGAAGAGGAAGGAGGGGGAGAAGGAGGAGAGGAGAGGAACGCGGGGCGGTATCTCTTCAAAACGAGCACCCAGCACCGCAGGATGGCTGAGAACAAAAATTCGCCTGGCGAAGGACCCAAGCATATGCAGTTGTGAATACCGCAGTTGTGGGTATCGTCTTCGCTGGAGTTCCCTATGGGCCACGAAACGCTGCACTGGGTATGGGAAACGCATGCGAACACCGCCAGTGGGGCCTTCGGTGGAGCTCCCTATGGGGCAACGAAGCGCTGTACTGAGTGGGGGAAACGCGTGCGAACTTTGCCACATGGGCCTCCAGTGGGGCTCCCCAGAGGGCCGCGAAACGCTGTACTGGGTGGGGGAGACGCCTGCGAGCTTTGCCACTGGAGCCCTCGGTGGCGCTACGTGTGGGGCCATGAAACGCTTGACTGGGTAGGGGAGACGCATGTGAACTTTGCCACCGGGGCCTTCGATGGAGCTCCGCGCGGCTGTGGGCCACAAGGCTTGAGGGGAGGAGGAAGGAGGGAGGAGGAGGGAGGTGGAGAAGAGGAGGAGAGGAATACCGGGCACTGTCTCATTCAAACCAGGACCCAACATCACAAGGATGGCTGGGAAATAACCAGCGGGAGCCCGTGCACCCTCACTACTCAACCATTCTCATTGTGGGACACCCTGCATCCGCCCCAGCGCCCTCGCCTCCGCGCCAGCTGCACTGCCGCTGAAAAAATCGTGACAATTGGGCTCACGCTCAGGCGTTTCGTGGGACAGCCGAAGCGATCGGGGAGCCAGGAGGAGGAGGAGGAGGAAGAAGAAGAAGACGAGGGGGCCCCGCCTCGGGGTGGGGAGCCGGCCCCCGGGGGTCAGAGCTTCGGTCCGGGGACCGCGCGTCGAGCCGGCGGCGAGCGACGGACGAGAGTGAGGAGGAGGAGGAGGAAGAGGAGGGAAGTGAGGAGGAGGAGGAGGAGGAGGCGGAGGAGGCGGAGGAGGCGGAGGAGGAGGAGGCGGAGGAGGCGGAGAAGGAGGCGGAGGCGGAGGCGGAGGAGGAGGAGGGGAGGAGGGGCGGAGGAGGAAGAGGAGGCGGCGGAGGCGGAGGAGGAGGCGGCGGAGGAGGCGGGAGGCGGCGGAGGAGGAGGAGGAGGAGGAGGGAGGAGGAGAGGAGGAGGGGAGGGGAGGAGGAGGAGGAGGAGCGGAGGAGGAGGAGGAGGAGGAGGAGGAGGAGGAGGAGGAGGAGGAGGAGGAGGAGGAGGAGGGGGCCCCGCCTGCCGCGCGGCACACCCTCCGCGGCCTGGGCCGAGCTGGCGGGGCTGGCCGCAGCACCGCGGCCTGCGAGGCACGTCGTCGCTCGAGGGCGACGGGCCTCGCGGGCCGACGAGCCTCCCCATCCAGGAGTGCCGTCCCGTTTTGGGGGAGCGCCATCACCATCATCATCATCATCATCATCATCATCATCATCATCATCATCATCATCATCATCAGCAGCAGCAGCAGCATCATCAGCAGCAGCAGCAAAATCAGCAGCAACATCAGCCGCATCAGCATCAGCGTCAGCATCATCAGCATCATCATCATCATCATCATCATCATCATCATCATCATCATCATCATCATCATCATCATCATCATCAATAGCATCATAATGAGCAGCATTGTCATCACCATCATCATCATCATCAGCATCATCATCAGCATCATTAGAATCATCAGCATCATCAGCAGCATCATCATCGTCATCATCCGCATCAGCATCAGCATCATCAGCATCATCGGCAGCATCATCAGCATCATCAGCATCATCATCATCATTATCGGCATCATTAGAATCATCATCATCATCATCAGCAGCAGCAGCAGCATCAGCATCATCATCATCATCATCATCATCAGCATCATTAGAATCAGCATCATCATCAGCAGCAGCATCATCATCGTCATCATCAGCATCAGCATCAGCATCATCAGCATCATCGGCAGCATCATCAGTATCATCAGCATCATCAGCATCATCGGCATCACTATCATCATCAACATCATCATCATCAGCAGCAGCACCATCATCATCAGCAGCATACGTAATCCTCATCAGCATCATCATTATCATCAGCATCATCATCATCACTATCATTATCATCATCATCATCATCATCATCATCAGCACCATCATCATCAGAATCATCAGCATCCTCATCATCAACATCATCATCAGGAGCATCATCATCAGCATCATCAGCACCATCAGCAGCATCATCATCAGCATCCTCATCATCATCAGCATCAGCATCATCAGCATCATCAGTTTCAGCATTAGCAGCATCATCAGCAGCATCCTCATCAGCAGCAGCAGTATCAGCATCATCATCGTCATCATCATCATCATCATCATCATCATCATCAATCATCAGCAGCATTGTCATCACCATCATCATCATCATCATCAGCAGCATCATCATCAGCATCAGCAGCATCATCATCAGCAGCAGCATCATCACCAGCATCAGCCTCACCATTAGCCTCATCATCAGCAGCACAATCATCATCAGCAGTATCAGCGTCATCATCATCATCATCATCATCATCATCATCAGCAGCATGATCAGCATCATAATCATCATCATTAGCAGCAGAATCATCCTCAGCATCATCATCAGCAGCAGCATCATCAGCATCATCATCGTCATCATCAGCATCATCAACATCAGCATCATCAGCATCATCAGCATCATCATCAGCAGAATCACCTCAAGCAGCATCATCATCAGCATCATCAGCATCAGCATCATCATCATCATCATCAGCAGCAGCAGCATCATCAGCATCGTCAGCATCACCAGTATCATCATCATCAGCAGCAGCATCATCACCATCAGCATGATCAGCATCAGCATCCTCATCACCACCATCAGAAGCATCATCAGCAACATCAGCATCATCATCATCAGCAGCAGCATCGTCAGCGTCATCATCAGCATCATCAGCATCATCATCAGCAGCAGCATCAGCAGCATCATCATCATCATCATCACCAGCATCGTCATCATCATCATCATCATCATCATCATCAGCATCATCATCATCATCATCATCATCATCATCATCATCATCACCATCATCATCATCATCATCATCATCATCATCATAGTCAGCATCATCATCATCATGATCATCATGATCATCATCATCATCATCATCATCATCATCATCATCCTCATCATCATCATCATCATCCTCATCCTCGTCATCATCATCATCATCATCCACATCATAATCATCATCATCATCCTCATCAGCAGCAGCAGCCTCATCATCATCAACATCTTCATCGTCATCATCATGGCCATCACCATCAATCATCATCATCAGCATCATCAACATAATCATCAACATAATCATCAGCATAATCATCAGCAGCATCAACATCATCAGCAGCAGCAGCATCAGCCTCATCATCATCAGCATCATTAGTATAGTTAACCATCAGCATCAGCATCATCAGCAGCAGCAGCATCATCAGCATCATCATTATCATGTGCAGCATCATCAGCATCATCGGCATCATCACCATCAGCATCATCATCAGCATCAGAATCATCAGCATCATCATCATCATCAGCATCATCAGCATCATCATCAGCATCATCATCACCATCGTCATCAGCAGGAGCATCATCATCAGCAGCAGCATCACCATCATCAGCATCATCAGCATCATCATCAGCATCATCAGCATCATCAGCATCATCAGCAGCATCATCAGCATTATCAACAGCATCATCATGATCAACATCAACAACAACAGAATCATCATCATCAGCAGCAGAATGGGCATCATCAGCAGCATCAGCATCATCATCATTACCGTCATCGTCATCATCAGCACCATCATCAGCAGCAGCATCATCCTAATCATCATGATTACCATTATCATCAGCATCAGCATCATCATCATCGTCATTATCCGCATCATCAACAACAGCATCAGCATCAACAACAGTATCATCATTACCAACATCAACATCATCAGCATCATCATCAACAGTATCATCATCATAATCATCAACATCATCAGCATCGTCATCAGCATCATCGTCAACATCATCAGCATCACCATCATCATCAACATCACCATCATCATCAGGATTATCAAGATCACCTCCCAGGGGGCCACATGCGAACCCTACCCCTACCCCCCACGGTTACTGAGGGGGAGGGTGGGGCTCACTTCGCTCAGAACTCGTGGGGGGTAGGGGTAGGGTTCGCAAGTGGCCCTCTACCTCTGGGAGTACCAACCCTTTTTGGGGAGAGCCGTAAGGTCGAGGAGCTCGCCAAAACGTGTCCCAATTGTCCCGACACAACTCGGAAGAGCAAGGCCCTTGGAATCCGAACAAGGGAAAGACCCCTCAAATCGCAGGGCGGCAGTCGAGGCCCCAGTTCCACTAGGGCGCCTTTGGCCTCAAAGTTTCTGTTCGCGGGCGGGCGTCTTGTGTGTGTACGGGACGACAGCGGAAGAGCGCAAGAGCGCAAAAGGAGAGAGGAGGGAGGAGGGAGAGGAGGGAGAGAGGAGGGAGGGAGAGAGGAGGGAGGAGGGAGTGAGAGCGCAAGAGCGCAAAAGGAGGGAGGAGGGAGGTGGAGGACCAGGAGGCTGCACTGGACGCTGTGGCGTCGGCGATAAAGATTCCGGGCCGAGGGCCGAGCGCACCAGCACCTCTCTATACACAAGACAGTGGATATAAAAATATACACGGTCGGACCCAGGGCAGAAGAGCATCCGTCAAAAACATGATGCCCTTGGATGGCCAAACTGAAGAGCACTCGAGGGCACCCTTCCCTGGATGTGTACAAGACATCCAGCAGGCACGAAGAACATTGGGGCATCCGCCCCGAGTCGACCTCGATCTTCTACCTCGGTCCGACCGCACATGGCAGGGAGATGCAAAAGGGTCGACTCAACCTGCTGCCCACCCCTGGGCAAGCGCGACCAACGGCAATGACAAATACTGATTGGAATAGGTCAGGCCGGCAGAATTGCACAAACTGCGGGGGTGGGAGAGAATGAGGTGGACATGCGCAGGGAAACCAAAACGCCTTGTCCCATCTGGTCCCTGCCGTGACGATGCGGATCTGGTTTCTGAAACCACGCAGGCCGTTCAATATTCAGATCCGAATTTGTGAGCGTTTGTTATTCGGCGCTTCGACATTGGGCGGAAAGGGGGGGAGCGGGGGGTCTGGCTCCGGACCTCTGCTTAATGCGACTGTTTGGCACCGTGCGGCCGATGGGGGAGGGACCCCACCTGACCTGAAACAGGCGCCAAAAGCAGCCAAGATCTTCTTCTTGGGGGGGGGAGGGAGCCCGCGCCGATCGGCAAAACCATGAATAGAAAAACGAACACTTTGCCATACGCGGGGATCTTTCAAGGTTGGCCTGTTTCGGGCCACCTGTGGCCCGCAGCCTCGGGCGCCTGCCCGCAGCCGCGTCGCCGCCACGTCGCCGCGGTGCCTGCCTGCCGTCGACAGCTGCCAGTCCTCAGTGAGTCTGGAATGAGCAACGAGCTTCGAAGCCTCTTGGGTCACCAGACACACACAGACACAGACACGCGCGCTCTGTCCTCTGCCTCTGCGCAGTGGGGAACCGCATCCCGACCTCCTCGAGTCCGATGCGGGTGTACTGCGAAGGACAGAGCCGGAAGGAGATTGCGACTTCGGGTGTGCGGGAGAAGCGCTGAACAAAGCGACGCGCGCTGGTCAAGATAAGGATCTGTGCCGACGTACTGACAAGCACGAGCGCTGCGGCTGTCTGCGGGGCTCGTGGCTGGTCAGCAGCAAAACGCAGAAGAACGTGGCAACTCTAGAACGAGCCCTAGGAAAACTGCTTGGCCATCTCTATAGATCATCCTTGGACGCCCCCCCGAAAAGAAATGGACCGACAAAGAGAGCTCCCTGGTACCACGCATGGCACCGTGACGAAATCACCGTCCCCACCCGATCTCAAACAGCCGCTTGGACTGTATACCGATATCCAATGAATATTGCTGCTAGATGCGGAGTCGAAGCTGAAGAACAAGCTTTTGCAACGATGCAACGCATCCGGGTGTTATTGTTGATATACCTATATATATATATATACATGTATACAGATATGTATACACGGATGTTCGCCAGCATGGACCTTTAACAGTGTTTCTAGCAAGAGATGTGGTGCAATATGTGATGTAATCTATCTTGTGCAACCTTTGGTGTGCAATGTATGGTGCGCAACCCACGGTGAGGAATCTACGTTGTGCAATCTCTCATCAGAGCCAGGCAACGCAAAGACGACGGACGGCGACGAGACGGCGACGGGGCCAAGGCGACGGGCGGCGACGAGGCGGCGACGGGGCGGCGACGGCGACTCAAGGCGGCGGACCCGACACTGGGCCCCAGACGACGGGCGGCGACGAGACGGCGACGGCGACGGCGACGGCGACGGCGCCGGCGACGGCGACGGCAACGGCGACGACAAAGCGCCGGACCCGTCTCTGGGGCCCAGACGACGGGCGGCGACGAGGCGGCGACGGGCGGCGACAACAAGGCGGCGGACCCGACACTGAGGCCCAGACGACGGGCGGCGACGAGGCGGCGACGGGGCGGCGACGGGGCGGCGACGGCGATAACAAGGCGGCGGACCCGACACTGGGGCCCAGACGACGGGCGGCGACGAGGCGGCGACGGGGCCCCGACGACGGGCGGCGACGGGGCGGCGATGGCGCCAACACGGCGGAGGACCCGACACCAGGGTCCAGACGACGGGCGGCGACGAGACGGCGACGCGGCGGCGACGGCGACGGCGACGACAAGGCGGAGGACCCAGGCGGCGGACCCAACGCTAGGGCCCAGTTCCTTCTGAGAAGAAGTGGGAACAACTAGGTGCACGCAGTGTTTGCGGCATGGCATAGATTCGCGTATGCATGCATACATACATACATAAATGCATGCATACATACATGCATGCAGATGCACATACATACACACACGCATATGCACATTCAGACCAGACATACATGCATGCATACATATATATATATATATATATATGTATATATACGCGTAAATGCATGCATGCATGCATACTTACTTGTTTACATACACCTGCACAGTTGTATACATACATACATAAATGCATACATACATACATGCATACATACATATATACATACATATATACATACATACATACATACATACGTACGTACGTACGTACATACATACAGACAGACAGACAGACAGACAGGCATACATACATACATGCGTGCATGCATACATACATAGACGCATGCATGCAAACATATGTGTATGTACACAAACATGTATACATATATGCATGCATGCTTGCATGCATACACCTTGACATGCATACACTTACATACATACATACACACGGCCTACACAAATACATATATACACATACATATATACTTACTTACGAGCATACATACATCTGTGCATGCATACATACATGCGTAGTTGCAGTGTATACCTATGTGTGTATATATATGTATATATGAATGTATTGATGAATATATATATATATGTGTGTGTGTGTGCACGTGTACATATATACATGTGTGTACAGGCATACCTACACACATACGCACAGGCATGCAAGAATACATGCCTATATATATGTAAAAATACGAACATACTTATATGTACATACATACATGCATGCATGCATGTATGTATGTGTATATATATATTTTGGAACCACGTGCGCGTTTCGCGCGCGCTAAGGTTCTAGCAGGCACCTGCCCGTGATAAGATCACAGTTGCACGCATGCACGCTTTTCCGTCGGCGGCGAGGCGGAGGCAATCCGCACCAGCGTGGGGCTAATGAACGCATGCACGCGCACGTACATACCACAAATAGTTTTGCCACTCGGCCGACCTGTGGACGGCTTGGGGAGAATTTGCGCCAAACTGCCAAAACAGTCCAGGATGGCCCCAGCTAAGAACGGGGTACGGAGGAGGAGGAGGAGGAGGCACAGAAAAGGAGAAGGGGCAGGACAAGGGTCTTTGGGGGCATCTTGGGGTCTCCTGCACAGCTTCTGGAAACATCGTTTGGATGTTCCTAGGATCCTATCCGGGAACATACATCGATGTCCCGGGACATCGTCTAGGATGTGGACTCGAGGCCTCAAAGAGGTTTCTTGGTGTCTCTTGGGAGGCCTCTCGAGAGCCTCATGGAAGCATTTTGAAGCATCGGGGGGCCTCTTTTAAGGCATCTTGGGGCATCTGGGAGGAGTCTTGAGGGCCTCCAAGAGGGTTGTTTTGGGCTGCATCTTGGTAGCCTGTTGGCGGTAGGAACACCCTTGGTTGTGTCCTCGGGTCTCCTGCGGCGCTTCTGGAAACATCGAGTCGGATGTTCATGGAAACCTCTCTGGGAACATACATCGATGTCATGATGTCCCCAGAAGCCTCTCTACGAACTCCAGAAGCCTCTCTGGGAACATCGTCTGGGAGGTGGACGCAAGGGCTCTTCGATGCTTCTTAGGATCTCCAGGGAGGTCACTCGGAAGCCTCTTGAAACGTTTGGGGGACCTCTCGGGGGGGGTGAGGAAACTCTCGGGGGCCTCTGAGGGGCCAGCTGGTGGCTTCGGTTCTTCGGGGCTCCTCTTCGGGCTCTCGCAGGGGTGCCCGGGAGCCCTTCTGGGGCACGTCCAAGGCGCCCCAAGAGGCCTGTTGGGGCGCTCCTGGGCCACTCCCGGGGGCGTCCTGAGCTGACGGGAGCCCCCCCGACGGGGCCTGGGGCCCCCATGCGTCACTGCGAAAGCGGCGAATATCGATTCCGACGTTCCCAGAGAAGCTTCAGGGAGCATCCGAATCAATGTTTGCAGAAGCCTCTCCGGGAGCATCGTGGAAGACGTGGGCGGCAGACCTGATAGGGGCGTCTTGGGATCTTTCGGGCGGTCTCCCGAGAACCTCTTGGAAGCAAGTCGGGAGCCTCTGGTGACATGTCAGGGGCCTCTCCGGGAATCTGAGCGGCGTCTTGCGGGTGTGTTGGGGGCCTCTTGGGGGTTGGCTGGCGGCGTGGGGGCATCCGAATCAACCTGCCCGAAGCCTGTCCAGGAGCCTCGTGCAAGACGTGGACGTGAGACGTCATTGAGGTTTCTTGGGCTCTCTTGGATGGCCTCCCGGATGGGTAGTGGAAGCATTTCGGCGCTTCTGAGAGCCTCGCTGGAGGCTATTGGGTCATCTAGGCGGCGTATTGGGAGCCTCTTGGGGGCGTCTTTGGGGTTGGCTGGCGGCGCGGGGACATCTGTTGCAATGTTCCCGGAAGCCTCTCCAGGAACATCGCGCACGACGTGAACGCGAGACCTCTTCGAGGCTTCCTGGGGTCTCTCGGGAGGCATCGTGGAAGGCTCTCGGGGAAGCAAATGGCATTTGTGGGGCCTCGAGGGTTTTAAGAGCTTCTTGGGGGGGGGGCGTTTGGGAAGCCTCTTGGGGGTTGGCAGGTGGCGTAGGCGTCCCTCTTGGCGGTCTGTCGGAATCGTCTTGCACACGCGGCCGCCTGCGGGAATCCCCTCGGCCGTCTTGGAGCCTTGTTCTGTGCAGTATTGGATCCCTCGCGGAGTTGGGCCGTATTGGGGAGATATTAGGCCTCTCTGGGGGACCTCTTGGGCCGTCTGGGACGGCAGGGAACCAGGAAGAGCGACAACACACAAGCCCGTCGAATACCGAGTGGGAATCCAGTTCTGGGGGGGGTCCTGGCATGATCTGAAGTCGCCTTGGAAAGGGTTCGGCATTGCCACCTTCAGCAAGTTGCTCCTGGGCCCGGAGGCTGGCAGAAAACGAATGTGGACGAGAGGCCAATCCTTGATGACTTACCAGACCACCCAAACCCAACCCGAAGTCCCTCACTTCGGATTTAGGGGCGTTCGGGTTCAATGTTCCAGGACGCCCCCCCCCACCGCCACTGGGAATGGAGAGCAACTTGGGCCCTGCGGGTTGGGCTGCGGCGGCTTGGTGGGTGGCGAGTCCTCGGCAAAAGCCTGGGCCAGTCCTGGGCAAGTGGTGGAGAGCCAGTCCTGGGCAACGACTGTGGACGAGAGGCCAGTCTTGGGCAAGGGGTGGAGAACTACAGGGGGCCACAGCTCGGACCACAACACAAATCGGCAAAGAGGCCGCGCGGGGAGAGTGCCGCGAAGAGAGAGCACGAACGAGGAATACAGAGGGAGGGAGATAGAGGAAGGAGAAGAGGGAGGAAAAGGCAGGAGAAAGATTGGAATTCGGGGGTGAGATCGCAGTGGAACGGAGAGCCCCCCACCGGGAAATCGGTTTCGGTTGCGTGTTCGTGTCGTGCGTGCGGGCGAGGCGAAGCTGCGTGAGCGCACGAGAGGAATGATGCCGCCGTGGCTCTATGGGCTGTGGAGCCGGTTGTCCGCCCCCCCGCCCCCCGGCGCGCGGTGGCCGGGGGTGTCCCGTCGGTGGCGCGTCGGTGTCCCGTCGGTGGCGCGGGGGTGCTGCGTCGGTGGCGCGGGGTGCCCCGTCGGTGGCGCGGGGTGTCCCGACGGTGGCTCTGGGTGTCCCGCCGTGGTGTCTCGATGGTAGCTCGTGAGATCAGTTGTGAGATCGATAGTGAGATCGAGAGGTCGATAGTGAGATCGATTGCGTGATCGATCGTGATCGAGAGGTCGATCGTGAGATCGAGAGGTCGATAGTGAGATCGATAGTGAGATCGATTGCGTGATCGATTGTGATCGTGAGATCGATCGTGAGATTGAGAGGTCGATAGTGAGATCGATAGTGAGATCGATAGCGAAATCGATCACAACAGATCTTTGGCTAGGGGGGGCCCGCAGTGGCTGGGGGTACCCCATCGTGGTGTCCCGATGGCGTCCCGATGGTGTCCCGATGGTGTCCCCACGGTGTCGGTAGAAAGGTCTCTTGTGAGATCGATATTGAGATCTATAGTGATATCGATAATGAGATCGACAGTGCGATCGATATCGAGAGCGATAGTGAGATCGATGGTGAGATCTGTTGTGAAATTCGTTGTGAGATCGATAGTGACATCTGGTGTGAGATCAAAGGTTAGCTCGATAGTGTGATATGTTGTGGTATCGATAGTAGGGATAGATAATGAGATCGATCACAACAGATCTCATTATCCATGGGTCGTGTTCGTCCTCACTCCAGCAAGCACTCCACACATTGTAATCACCGCGGCCATGGCTACCATTGCCTTTCATAATGGTCTGGCACAAACTCGTGACCGTAATGTCCGTTGAAGCGGCACGTATTTCGCCCGCTAGTGTTCCGATGATGTGCCGATGCTGCCCCGCTCGTGTCCCGATCGTGCTGAACGCCACTCGCTGTGAGATCGTTAGTGAGATCTGTTGAGAGGTCGATAATGAGATCGAAAGTGAGATATATTGTCAGACCGATAGTCCGATCGATAGTGAGATCGATTGTGCAATAATTGGGTCGCTAGCGAAACCGGTAGTGAGATCAGCCGATTCGAGTCGAATTCGAGGTCGCATTCACGTGGTGTGAGCTCCATCGCGGCTGTGTCGCCCTCACTACAATCACCATTCTTCACTCTCATCATGAGCGGCATCTGAGTACCGTTTACCCGATGCCCATCCCCAGCGGCGTGGCCTGGGCCCCACTGGCCGATGTACCCCCTTAGATGGGGATATAGGTCGATCCCTTCGGGTTTCGAGGGGTGTCCCCAACTGGGGGAGGTAATTTGGGGGGGGGGTCTCGACGGCGATGGGGATGGGGATGGGGGTCGGATAAACGACGCTGATCCTCGTGCAGTGCCCTGGGCTCCTGCCCCATCCACCCTTGAGTCGGACCTGTCCCTCTACAGTGGGGAAATTCAAGAACAGTCAAAAAATGGTCTGGGGACGACGTTTTCTGGCCACTTCTGAGTATCTTGGGAGCTTTTTTGTTTTAGTTGTTGTTCTTCAGTTTTCCGCCCAGAATCCCCCTGTGTAGGGGGACAGGCCCGACCTGAATCCACCCCTGCAGTCAGGGAAGCGAGCCAAGCGACGCCGAAGACTGGCGGACGGGGCGCTCCGGCGGCGGACTTGCCCGCGCGCGCGCCAGCCGAACTCGGGCTGCGGGTTCGCGCGCGCGCCGGCGTCTGTCGCGGGCCAGCGGGGCCGCGTCGTGTCTCTCGGCGGGAGGGGTCCTCGCGGAAGGAGGCCCTGGAGTTGTGGATGCCATGACACTGGACACTCCAACAATCCGATCATTGAATCAAAGATGTGGTTTGCCATCTGGAAGCAATCTTTGACACCTGGAAAGTATTGTTTGAACCACTATTTGCCGATCATGGTCGAAACGACGTCTGGAAAGTATTTTGCAGCACGCTTCCTCTCCATTGATCGACTTCCACAACCGTGGAGCCTCTCGCGCGACTGCCGGCTCCCGGGGCCCTCCGTGGGCTCAGGGGCTTCTCAGAGGTGGCTCTTCAGGGAGGAAGGGCGGGTCCTCCTCCTCCTCCTCCTCCTCCTCCTCCCTCTCCTCTTTCCTCCTCCTCCTCTCCTCCTCCTCCTCCTCCTCCTCCTCCTCCTCCTCCTCCTCCTCCTCCTCCTCCTCCTCCTCCTCCTCCTTTCTCCAGGGGAGGGCCCCGAGGTCCAGGGACCCGTTTCCGCCAGGACCCCGTCGTGCGAAGGGGCGAGCGACGGAGGAGGGGGGCGGCACTACGAGCACATGCAGCATCGGCCGTTTTCGAGGCCTGCCCTCAGGTCGGGCCTGTCCTCCTACAGGGTGGATTTTGGACGAACAATGAAAAATACCCCAAAAAAATACCCCCAGATTGCAAAAAATGCTCCGAAAATGGTCCCCTTATCATTTTTTGACTACTTTTGAATATTCCTCCTGTAGAGGGACGGGCCCGGCTCAACACTATGAGCACATGCAACATCGGCCGTTTTCGAGGCCTGCCCGTCCTCTGCAGTCGGACTCAGGCCAGAAGAACACCCTTCAAGAACACGAGGCCAACGGTCGGCCAAAACACACAGAGAACATCCGAGGGTACCCACCCCAAGGATGCACAAGAGCATCCATCAAACACAAGCACGACAGATCAGTACGGACTCATCGAGGTACCCTCCCCGAACCAACCTCGATCTCATGCCTCGGTCCGACTGCAGGGGCCGACCCCCTCCGAGAAACACCCGCATCTTCCCAGAAGGCCGCGCCCACTCCCCACGCCCGCCCTGCGCGCTCGACCAGCCCTGGGCGCGCGCGCCCGCCGATGGGCCAAGGACTCCTTGTGGCCCTCGCAGCGCCGGGCCCGGGCCCTGGCCAGCGCCAGGGCCGTCGAGGGGGAGCGACAAGAGGAGAGATGCCTCCACCCCTTCGCCCTTCGCCTCCTCCTCCAGAGGGCAGAGAAGCCACCCCCACAATTCGCCGGCCCAAGGGGCCAGAGGCGTGCTAAGATCTCCAGTAACTACTAACAATATTTCTAGTTCGCGCGCGCGGGGCGGCCCCTGGGGGGCCCCGGACGAAAAGTACCCCTGCCGATCCCCGGCTGACCCCTGGGCGATCCCCAGGGGGGAGGCTATTTTTCGCCACCGCTCACGAGGATCGTGGCCTCCGAGGGGGGGGCTGCCACCGACTACCCCCCCTCCCGCCCCAAGGGGCCCCCAAGAGCCCCCCAAGAGGCCCCAGGGGAGCCCAATACGCCGCCAAGGAGCCCAAGACGCTCCCAAGAAGCCCCCAAGAAGCCCCCAAGACGGCCCCAAGAGGCCCCAAATAGCGCTCCAGGGACGGCGGAATGAGCGAAGCGATTAAATAAGCACCGCGGCGAGCAAAGCCGTCTGGTAAACGCACCCCGGGAAGAAACCGAACAGGGGCAGGGCGTTTTGGCAAACGCCCAGGGCCGCTTAGTAAACGCCCAATCGTCGGGGTCTGGGTGGCTTTTCCTCCATCGATACTCATCATGCTCCCCACGAAAACGGACGCAGGCAAACCTTGGCGGTTTCGTCCAGGATATAATACGGGAAAGGGACAACCGTGTATATATATATATATACAAGCTAACAAGCATATTCACTAACAAACAAACACACACACACACACACACATACACACACACACACACACCTCAAAAAACAGACTGAAATAACGATCGCGAAAAATACTGACAAGGTCAACGCTTGCGTCTGCTGCACGGGAGCGGGTTCCGTAAATCGAAGAGGCAATATGGGAGTCTTTCGTTCAGGTGCGCCAGCACGTATTTTGGAAACTCACTGTTGAGGGATTGGCATACGTTCGATTGGAAGGGGTTCATGGTGCGTCGTTTGGCAAGCAGTTCAGATTGTTATGTTTCGTCTGTGGTTCGTAGCGTTGCCTTGTGTAGGGGCTCATGACTTCCTCCTTTCTTGGATGTTTGTTGCTGTTACCTTACGTGTGGTTTCACTACGACTTCCTTGGCAAGCCCGAGGCGGAACGAGACGGAACACGCAAGTCATCAGTGGAGCACTAGAGCGTCCCGCGAAAGAGCGGCCTCTGAACAGGCCTCTGTTGGACAGAAAGCCATTGCTGACCCTACAGGTTTCATCGGATCCCATTGAGCACGTTCGCAGTCAGGCACACATCCGCCACCGTGCCGCGAGGCACTGAGCGGAATGTTCTCAGGTCCCCTGGGATCCCCAACGCTGACTATTGAACACGCAAGTTCTGGAGCTCCTTGAGCGATCCGCATGCTCTCGCCGAGCTTACCCAAAGTCGACGCCGAGTCCGGGGGAGCAGCGAAACGGAGCAGACCTTCTCGGAAGGCTCGGAAATCCCCCGGCCTTCTGAGAGGTGTCCTAAGCCTTCCCCGAAGATACGGAAAAACTCTCAGAAGGCGCGAGGGCTTCTGAGAAGTCCCGCCGCCTTCTGAGTAGGCCTCCTCCTTCTCACTTACAGCGGAGGCCACTCCACAAGAAACCGTCCACGAGAAACCCAAGCCTGAGACCCCAGGACGTCCATCGGTTCTTGGTGTGGCAACGCCGCGCTCTCCGTAGCAAAACCATCGAAACCCAGGAAACCCCGGGCACCCTGGAGGCAAGCAGGATGTTTCTTGGCATGGGCCCCACTGTATCCCAGGGCTGAACCTGAACGGTGTCCTTCGGTTTCGTTTTGTTTTTGGTTCTCCCTCGCTCTGTGTTCAATCCGCCTCTGACGCAAAACGAAATCGAGGCGGAAACGGCCCACGAGATCGCCAAAACACCGATCAGGTCCACCCCTGCTGTATCCCCCTCGCTCGCCGCCGACATACTCTCGCCGAGCTTCCCCAGAGGCCCGGGAGCGCCGAAGCGCGGGGGCAGGGGCCAGAGGAGGAGGCGTCCAGGGACGGCCCAGCGAGGGCCCTGCGACGGCCCAGGGCGAGGCGCCCAAAGAACGGACCGAAGACGGCCCAAGAATTATGTTGCCCCCATCCTACTTTAAAACCACATCCCAGAAATAATTTCGAGCACCCGGAAAAGTGTCAAAAGAGTGTCGAAACAGTGTCGAAACAGTGTCGGGCGAGTGTCTCCCAGGGCCCGACACGTGAAAACCCTTGAGTTTCGGTACTTTTTGGGCGCTAGAAACTCTTGCTGGTGATCAAGGATAAAGTAGGTTGGAGCATCATAACCCAAGAATAAACAAGCGCTTTCCACGATTCGCAAAATAACTACTCGCAAGTGGCCTGGATTCGCCGCGGGGGATTCACGGCAAATTTCGTCGAGACAAAGATATGGTTTTTCTGACATTTGCGAGTAGGCGCTTTGCGAGTAGTGGAACGCGCTCGGTGAAAGAAGCTCCCCAAGACGACCTACGTTCGGGGGCGAGCGAGGGGGGGAAGCGAGAAGGAGAAGGCCTTCTCAGGATGCGGCTGAACTTCTCAGAAGTCCTCCGGCCTTCTGAGAAGTTGACTGCGTCTTCGAGAAAGGCTTAGAGAACTTCTCAAAGGCCGGGGTGCTTTCGAGTCTTCTGAGAACGCCTTCTCCTTCTCACTTCCCCCACTCGCCGCCGATAGTTGACTGATGGTTGTTCGCAGTTTCGCATTTTCGACATTGCCCCGAGACGGCTCAAAAAGGCGACCAAACGGCCCAAAGGCCCCTCTGGGGCACGAGGGACCCAAGAGCGGCCCAGAGGGGGACTCCGAACTGGCCTCGGAGCCCTTTCCCCGAAAGATGGCCCCCCAAGACAGCAACCAGGCTCTCGAGTTGGTGGTATCTGTTGATATCGATATACACTAAATTGCACCTGAGTGTCAAAGCAGTGCCTGGACGTGCCTAGCACCGACGCTGCAACGATCATGTTGGTACCACTTGGGTCAGATCGGAACCACTGCAAACTTTAAGGTCCAAGCGGTACGTGGTCGGTCAGGCCAGCCCCACTGAAAACAATGAAACCCAAGTGGCAGCACTTGGATGATATCGGAACCAGAGCTGACAATATGACCACCGTGGACTCAGTTGGGCCACATGGGCGGCATCCCTGCGACCAGGGGGTAGGTTGGGAACTGAATCGGTACCCTTTCCAATCCCGTGCCGAGTAGCGACGCAGCAACGGTCATGATGGCACCACTCGGGTACAAGATCCAGACACAAACCAAAAACATGTTGGCCAGCGTGGAACTCAAGAAATAGCGCCTTGCAACTTATGCGGCACAGTCTAGGTGGTGCAATCAAGTGGTACGATCTACGTGGTGCAATCAAAGTGGTATAATCTAGGCGCGAATCCTCCTCCTCCTTCTCCTCCTTCTCCCCATCATCAGCATCATCAGCATCATCATCATCATCCTCATCCTCATACTCATCCTCATCCTCATCCTCATCCTCATCCTCATCCTCATCATCATCATCATCAACAGCATCGTCAACGTCATCAACATCAGCATCGTCATCATCATCATCATCATCATCATCAGCAGCATCATCATCATCAGCATCATCATCATCCGCTTCATTTTCATCATCGTCATCATCATCATCAGCAGCAGCATCAGCATCATGAGCATAATTTCATTATCAGCATCATCATCATCATCATCAGCACCACCATCATCATTATCATCATCAGCATCATCTTCATCATCAGCATAGTCATCATCATCAGCATCAGCATCATTATCATCATCATCAGCATCAGCAGCATCATCATCAGCATCGTCATCATAATCATCATCAGCAGCAGCATCATCATGAGCAGCAGCAGCATCGTCATCAGCATCATCATCCTTATCATGATCATCATCATCATCATCATCATCATCATCATCATCATCATCATCAAAACCATCCGTACCATCATCATCATCATCATCATCATCAGCAGCAGCAGCAGCATCATCATCATCATCATCACAATAATGATCCTTATCGTCATCACCACCGTATCATCATCATCATCATCATCATCATCATCATCATCATCATCATCATCATCATCTTCATCATCATCATCATCATCATCATCATCATCAGCAACAGAATCGTCATCATCAGAATCATCGTCATCATCATCATCATCATCATCATCATCATCCCCTTCATCTTCATCATCATCATCATCATCAGCATCATCGTCATCAGCATCATCCTCATCATCAGCATCATCATCATCATCGTCAGCAGCATCATCAGCATCATCATCATCAGCAGCATCATCATCATCCTGATCATCATCATCGTCATCAGCATCGTCATCATCAGCATCGTCATCATCATAATCATCATCATCTGCATCAGCAGCATTATCATCATCATCCTCATAATCAGCATCATCACTACCAGCAGCATCATCATCATCATGATCATCGTCATCATCATCATCATCACCATCATCATCATCATCACCCGCTTCATCTTCATCATCATCAGCAGCATCCGCATCATCATCATCATCGTCATCATCATCATCATCAGCAGCATCATCATCATCATCATCATCAGAACCATCATCATCATCATCATCAGCAGCAGCATCATCATCATCAGCATCATCATCATCAGCAGCATCAACATCATCATCATCATCATCATCATCATCATCATCATCATCATCATCATCATCATCCGCGTCATCATCATCATCATCAGCATCATCATCGTCATCACCAGAAGTATCCTCATCATCAGCATCATCATCAGCATCAGCATCGTCATCGTCATCATCATCATCATCATCATTATCATCATTATCAGCATCGTCATCATTAGCACCATCATCTATAGCATCATCATCAGCAT